CGTATATATATATAGATATATATATATATATATATATATATATATATATATATATATATATATATATATATATATATATATATATATATATATATATATATATATATATATAATATATATTTTGGTAACAAACTGTCGTTAACGCAACATTTCAAAAATTCAACACTTCTTCCAACATTGTTCAACTTTTTTATATTTCTTTTTAATTTATTAATGACAGAAAAATTAGATATTTTATTGTTTTAAAAATTTTATTAAATAAATTTGCAGATAGCTATTTCGAGTTATAGATAACTCATCTTCAGTGCATTATATGTAATGTATGTAAGATATTATAAGAAGTAATTATTAATTTATATAAATTATTTTAAACAGAAAACGAATAAAATAAATTCAACAACATTAAACAATATAAAACGCGATTTTCAAAATTTTTAACGGCAAGATTGTTTATATTATGGTTGTTAAGGTAAATATCAACGCTCAGCCGAGAAGAAGCGCGAATTAATTTATTTAGTTAACTACATATTATTAATATTATTTTTACAATATTTAAAAACGTTATTAGTATTATTATTGTTAACGTTATTATTATTATTATTATTATCATCGCTGTGGTTCTTCTTGCTTCTTGTGATGATGTTCCATTTGCAAGTGATATTTGCGCTGTGGGTTGTGGCGTTGGTATCTACAGTGTTGGCACTGTTGTTGTTATTATTGTTGATGCTGTTGTTGTTGTTGATGTTGTTGTTGGTGTTGTTGATGTTGTTGTTAAGGTTGTCACTATTGATGATGTTCCAATTGCAATTGATATTTGCGCTGTGGGTTGTAGCGTTGGTATCAACAGTGTTGGCACTGTTGTTGTTATTGTTGATGTTGTTGTTGGTGTTGTTGATGTTGTTGTTGGTGTTGTTGGTGTTGTTGATGTTGTTGTTAAGGTTGTCACTATTGATGATGTTCCAATTGCAATTGATATTTGCGCTGTGGGTTGTAGCGTTGGTATCTACAGTGTTGGCACTGCTGTTGTTATTGTTGATGTTGTTGTTGATGTTGTTGTTGGTGTTGTTGATGTTGTTGTTAAGGTTGTCACTATTAGTATGATTGTTGTTTACATCATCAATGTTGTTGGTGATAACATTGTTATAATTAGTATGATTGTTGTTTACATCATCAATGTTGTTGGTGATAACATTGTTATAATTACTGCTGTTGTCGTAATTGTTGTTGCTATAATTATAATGATTGTTGTTTTTATTTAGTAGTCTATTTGAAGGTAGAATGTTGTTTGACTATACTTGAATGTTCATGGAGGGTTTTTTGTTTTGTATGAAAATTGATTCAGCTATTTTCAGGTTTGTGATGTTGTTATTGCAATAAACTATTTGCGTGTTATTTAACATTTGTCGTGTTAAAGTGATGTTATGCTGTTGTTGATAATGTTGTTTAATTGCTCCATCTTGTAGATGCATGGTCAAACGTCTTGACAATGTGGTAGTTGTCATTTCAATATATGAAGCATTGTTGCGGTGCGAACATTCACCGACGGAGCATTTATATTCATATATTAGATGACTTTGTTGTAGTTGAGTAGTTGCAGGAAGGCAATTATTTTTCATGATTAGTTGGGATGTTTTTAAATTTTAGTAGTAAATTCGAAGAACAACTTTATTAATTGGATTTGACGTTACTACGTTTCTGCGTATTATTCCTTTTAAAATTCTTTCATCTTCTTTATACGCCATTGAAAAAGTATTTTTGTAATAAAATATTATCTTATTTTTGTCATTCATTTTGTTGTTGATTTGGTTTCCAATGATACGGCTGTTGTTTTTGCTGTTGTTATTATTGTTGTTGTTGTTATTGTTATTACTGTTTGTGGTGAGGCTTGTGATGCTGTTATTATCAAAGTTATTAGACGTGGTGGAGGGGTTGCCATTAACTTCCTGTTTATTGTTGTTTGGAACGTTGTTGGTAATTGCATTATCATTTTTAAATATTTTAAAAATAATATAATAATATGTAGTTAATTAAATAAATTAATTCGCGCTTCTTCTCGACTGAGCGTTGATATTTACCTTAACAACCATAATATAAACAATTTTGCCTTTAAAAAAATTTTGAAAATCGCGTTTTATATTGTTTAATGTTATTAAATTTGTTTTATTCGTTTTTTGTTTTATATAATTTATATAAATTAATAATTACTTTTTATAATATCTTACATACATTATATATAATGCACTGAAGATGAGTTATCTATAACTCGAAATAGCTATCTGCAAATTTATTTAATAAAATTTTTAAAACAATAAAATATCTAATTTTTCTGACATTAATAAATTAAAAAGAAATGTAAAAAAGTTGAACAATGTTGAAAGTAGTGTTGAATTTTTGAAATATATATATATATATATATATATATATAGAATATATTATGTTATATTCTATAAATATGGTGAAGACCCATTTTTTGGTGCTCCAGAGGGTAGAGGCTGTAGTCCGCTTTGTCGTAAATTCGTTCCTGGTCACATTATTAAGAATTGGCTTAGATGGCAAATTTATTGGTGAATAATTGCGTATTCAAACACGACAACATAGTTCTTCCCAACGTCATTCGTCCTTACTTTGATATCGGTCAAAACCAGTGGCGGATGTAAAGAGGGCCGGGGGGGCCATGGCCCCCCGTTATCATCAGTTTAATTCAAGACAGCGTTAAATAATAGAAAAAAATTTTAATTGAAAACTAATATCAAAAAAAGTAAATTAAAAAATATTATAGTCTTTACTTATTTAGAGTTTTCATAACTTTATGTTTTGTTCACAGTTCACATTTTATTTCATTTACGATTTGGCGCGTCTTATATTATTTTTTTGTGTTTTATAAAATCAGTTTCATTTGAATTCGTTTTAAAATTAAAAAAAATGTCTTTTAAAAAAAGTAGTATTTTAAACTTTTTTCAACCGACTCCGGCAAACAAACAGAAGCAGTGCGGTGATCTCAATACAGTTAAGGCCGTTAATGGTAATACCTTGATATTTCAATAATTGCATATAAAATAATTTTGTATTTTCAACCAAAAAAATTAGCAATAAGCTGAATAATAAAAACATTTTTTTGGGGTTAGGGTTAATGCGTACCAGTCATTAACCGACTAGACTTGAATTAATTTTGTAGTATTTAACTATTCAGGTCTGGTAGGAAAATTAAAAAATTTAATCTCAACCTTTTTTTACAATTATAGAATCTGATGTCTTGGAAGAAGGCCTTTTATTAAATTTAAACAATGACATGATTGATGTTTCCGACAAAACTGGTAATTCATGTCAGAGTTTTTCATAGGAAACAATACCTTTAGATATTGGACAATATGCATCTGCAGAAATCCCAAGCATTTCGAATGATTTAAGATATGATCTTTTGAAAAATCTTTGGAAACCTAATGAAAATTATAAATTTCCATTTGTGCTGGAAGGTAAAAGAAAACGGTTTTTTTAATTCCCTATTATCCTGGCTGTCTTATTCTGATTTGAAAAAAGGAGCATTCTGTAGGTTTTGTGTACTTTATGCAAATCGACATCCATCATGTGGCTCAGTCGGAGTATTTGTTAATCACCTTTAAATCGTTATAAATCAGCTTTAGATCAATGTCGCTGTTATCAAGCGATATCTTTTCACAGAGAGGCTACAGAAAAATCAGAAAATTTTCTGAGTTTGATTAAAAATAAAGCTAATGTTTTAGAGTTATCAAACTCCGCTCTTTCCACAAAAATAGAGCAAAATAGAAAATTGCTTAACACTGTTATTGAAACTATTAAACTTTGTGGAAGTTTTGCTTTTTGCTTTGCGTGGACACCGAGATGACGATGCATTAGATCTCAAATTTGATAACAATCAGGGGAATTTCAGAGCGCTTTTAAAATACAGTACTGAATGTTCAAGATCCGCCGCTGAGTGTATATGTATTATACATATACATTCAGTGACGGATCTTGGGGTATGGACGGAGAAACCATCACCCAGTTGTAAGCAGTATATTTATTAAAAGAACTCAGCTTTTGCATAAAAAAAACACCATTTTATATCAAAAAAGGTCGCCAGCCTGATTTTGGCCACGCTACCACAAATCTTGGCCCCCTGTCCATATTTGAAAAAAAAATTGGCCCCCCCGTCAAAGTTTTTTAGATCCGCCACTGGTCAAAACTTTTATGCCGGCACGTCATTAAAACTCAACAACACACATATCGTTATGGAATGGTTCAATAAAAAACCGAAATACAGTTTTGCCACTAATACATGCGCCGTTGGCTTTAAGTGCGGACATTACACTCAGGTTGAAATTTCATTATTACTAAAATTAAAATTATGAATAATAACAACGGCCAACCAAAGTTCCAACTTTTGAGATTTTGTCACTGCGCGCTGAATGATGACCAGCCAAATGCAAATTTCATATTTTATCCTTTGTTTCAGTTCTTATTTGCAAAATTTCACATAATCCATACATAATCAATGCGTGTGTTACCGTGTGAATTTTGCGAGTTATTTTGAACGACAAGTTTAATTTAAAATTGAGCCGATTTATAAAAAAACTATCTGAAGCTTTTTCAGCGCCGCTTGTTTGAAAAAAGAAAATAATTTTTTTAAATAAATTTATAGAGAAATTAATATTACGTTTGATATATGGAATTTATATTTTGAAGGTCGTGTGGACGAGCACAGCAGAAGTTGGTTGTGCACATGCTGTTTGTCAGACGAGCAAATTTCTCTACCCGTCAGGTTTATTTGTGCCTGCAATTATGGATCACCGTTAGAATAAATTTTATTTCACTTTTTATTTTGTAAATGTTGACAGTGGCAGAACTAGGTTGGAGAATTTGAGAAGAAATTTCCATCCCCTAATTTTTCTTTGTTGCTCCTGGGCCAACTCAACACTTGTAAATCCGCTTCTGGATTTTTGATAAATACACACACACACACACACACACACACACACACACACACACACACACATATATATATATATATATATATATATATATATATATATCCATGGTTTTGATTGGGTTTTAAGAAAGATTTGCTCTGGAAAAGTAGACAATAAAAGTAGAGCTCCATGTTTGTCACGCAATTGAGCAGCACGCAGCTTCAAGTCCATTAAACTAATGGCATTTTTTTTTTTAGGTGAAAATAGAAGAAATATTATCTTCAATAAGCAGAATAAATATAGTTTCGTTTTTTTATTTAATATTCATTTAAAATACATTCCAATAAATATAAAAAATTTAGTGGAAATTATCCTGGCGAAAGTCCGTATACAGTTGGGCCAGCCTGCGAAACATGTACTGAAACATGCACTGATGGACTTTGTGGTAAGTAAAAATTGTATTAAAAAGATATGTAAATTTTTTTGTTAATTTAACGAAAATTATTGACATTTAAAAATTTTCGAATCAAGTTTTTTCTGAACTTAATTTGTGTTAGGCCTATATTATAATTTGCGAATTTGATCACGATAGCATTTTTTTCTGGAGTGATGTTTTTTTTACGTTCCACGATCATACATTTTATAAATTGAGATTTATTTTAATTAATTTAATATATATTTATATGGAAGCTATATTTATTAATTTATTTTTAATAAATTTTTATTTCTTTCTAGAATTCTCTTTCCTAACAGATTAACTGAAATCGGAGAATACGACCCATCATAAGTTCTATTTTCTGAATTATTAATCACTATCAAAATTCGACATTACAAAGTCATTCATTTTTTAATAAAAAATTTTATCTTGTAAACTTTGAATAAAAAATGCAGTTAGTATATTATATTAAAAAAGAGATGGCTCTTTTCACAATTTAAAACAAACTGTTGTATTGCATATGTAGGCCTATATATCGAAATGAAATTATAAACAAATTACTTCACCAATTGGTATATTAATTAATCAAATCATTAATCAAATCAACAACTTATTATTACAGCCATCTAATATATTTGTTCAAATGTAATACTGGTGAGTGTGGGCACCATAATTCTGAACATATTGGTATGACGACGACCAAGTTATCGAGAAGACTCACGATGCACGTACAAACTGGCGGTATAAAGAATCATATAAAAGAGAAACACAAAACTAAAGTTACTGAACAAATCTTGGAACACAATGTTGACATCTTACATTACAATAACAACCGTTATAATTTACAACTAGCCGAATCAATGATCATAGAACAAATACATCGGATAATAAATATTCAACAAGGGACAATTGGAATTCTTTCTACTAATATATTTAGAACCAGAAAAATTATCGATAATGAAAACACGTAAAAATGTTATATTTATCGATAATGAAAACACATAAAAGTGTTATATTTTACGATGGTGAAGAATGTAAAATTAAGTATTCACTTTAAACAAACAAGGAACCAATAAATAGGCACAGTATAAAAATATTTGAGCACAACTAATAACATAGATAGTACCCTATAGGAACACCGAAAAAAGCTTTTCTGTTCTATCATGCATAAAATAAACAAAAATGTTGGTTTTGAACTAAAGAAACTTGAAAATGATTTACGATCAACCGTTAGAAAAATACAATATTCTATAAATTCTACCGAATGTTTGGCGTTAATATGTTTGTAGTTCGTTTTTTCAATTTTTCTCACTAAAGTTTTTTGGTGAACGTTTAGTTTATTAAAATTCAAAATAAACTTATTTTCCAAATTTATGCTGCAAATAAGGCCATATTTCGAATCCGAATGAATCATCAGTGCTTCTGTTGTTTATATAGGGATATATTGACTTTGTCAAAATGAATTTAGATGGAGATTGACTTTGTCAAAGTGAACTTAGATGGAAATTAGTTGTCAGTTTTCTTTATTAATCTCTATTATTTTCTTTATTAATCTTCTTTGGTCTCCTTTTCTTCATCGATAGCATCATATTCTTCTTTGTCACTATTTACAATGCTAGTTTTTATTACTTCTTTGTTTTCGTTGTTGGTTAAGTGCCGGGTTGAAAGTGAGATTGTCATTTTTTGTTGTATTTTTGGTTTATTGATGTCAATTATGACTGCTTCTACAATTTTAAAATGCGTGTAGTTGCTGTTCTGGTATATTACTTTGGTGTTACTGTCGAGGATTTCGTGGCTAATAGTGATTGAGTGTGTTGAGTCCAAATAAGATTTGATAGCACGGATAATAAGTTTATTTTGAATTTTAATAAACTAAACGTTCACTAAAAACTTTAGTGAGAAAAATTGAAAAAACGAACTTCAAACATATTAACGCCAAACATTCGGTAGAATTTATAGAATATTGTATAAATTGTATTGTATATATATATATATATATATATATATATTCATAAGCGTCTTTTGATAGGATATATTATATATAACCATCATTTTTAACAACTTGCATCGGCTAAAAATTCGTTAACGTTTATATTGGGTAAAAAATCTTGCACCGGATTAATACAAACCAAGGAAATCTATGAAATGAAAAAGTCGTTGGTACTCGCTTGCGCCGACCTGGCTTCGCATTAGATTAGATTAGATTATATCTCAACGCAACACCTATCTTTCTCGAGACATCGTTACGACACCGCGCCATCAACAACTTTTAAAAAACCTCGCGCTTTTAAAAATTCATAATAATAACATACAGATAACTTATTATTATATTGATTGATAGACGCATTACATAACCAACCACTGCAGAAGGACGAAACGTAAAAGAAAAGAACAGCTGATGAAGCCAACACGCCGAGCATCACGAAGAAAAGAAAGTGAAGAACTGTATATCTAATCTTATCAATTTAACTACATTCTACAAAAAATTTTTATTTTTACAAAATTAAAATTTTATCATTAATAAATTCGACAATTAAACTGTAAATAAATCAATCCGTGCTGAAAAAAAACATTCATATTGCAAGAGCGTCTCCTTGGATTTCTTGACTCAACTGAATTTGTAAATCACTCAATTTTTTCTTTAAAACGCTTAACGACGTCATGAGAATGTTTTCAGGTTTTAGGGAGCCACAGGATTCAATGTTCATGTAGAATTTGTGTGGTTTTGACTGATAGTTGAATGGAGCTTCATCTAAAATTAACATAAATTAAAAATATTATTATTTTTCAACAAAATTAGATTAAAACAAAAAATATTGTGGTGACTGAAGATAGTGGTAATGGCTTGAATAAGATAAATGTGGAGCTAATGGAAGAGTATCAAAGTAGTAAAAAAGTCAGAAAAGGCATTGGACATTCAAAGTTGTATTAAGAAAATTAACTTTCAAGTTTTTAACAATGATTTTAAAGTTAAAATTTCATTCAATTTTTTACTTACGGACGTTTTCTGGAAGTTCTGAAAATTCGCTTTTTGGCCTAAAAAAATAAGATTTAAAATTATGATATTAATAATTTTATTACAAAAATAAGTGTTACAATAATAATAATAATTATTATTATTAGTATTATAATTACAAAAATAAGAGTTGCATTAATTTTTCCAATATAAAAACATCAGTTGAATGATACAAACCATTCTTCAGGTTTAGGGTAGACAGTATGCTTGAACTCATTGTCAGGATCATATTCAAACGCCACTCCAGCAGTTGGATTCCATTTAGCATGCTCCTTTGCAAAACCTTTGATTGCAACTGCACGCAACTTTAATTCTTGTCCTTTTCTCAACTTGACTATAAGTATTTCTGTGATGAAAAAGAGATGAAAATATGAAGAACTGTTCAAAACATAATAATTTATTCATAAACGTTGACATTCATTCATAATATACCTTCATTGTCGCCATAGTCTCCGTCTTCATCTCTGTGTCTGGAAGTTGCCTAAAAAACAAATAAATAAAATAAAATAAGACAAAAAATTAGTAAATAAATACAATATATTTCAGAATGGAAAATGTAATAATATAATCTAAAATTAGAAGACTGCATCAACATACCGGGACAACTTTTGGATTGCTGCTGATCAAATGACCTGTGTGAACGTGTTTTGTTTGATCGTCTGTGCACCTGACATCGAGAGAAAATTCAACTGCACATTCGGGACAAAATTCTTCACAACTGCAATCCTAAAAAATTGTTGCATTCTTTTTAGCATCATGAAAATGTGACAGGCAATATTTAACAAAGCATGTGCTGCTGATCAAGCTTTTTTGTTTCATACTTTAGCAAAACATTTATAACATCTTTTCGATTTTTAAAATTTCGATCTGTGCAGATTGACAAATGTAAAAAAATTGGCAAACCCTCGGGTACTGCATCTTATCGACAACGTCGTCGGATGTCAGCGGTATCAATCCTATTCGCTGTGCTATGAATTCATCACACAGTACAGTTGAATTTGATTCAATTTGGATCCAATCGATTGCTTGGAACAATAAAGTTAAAATTAAAAATATTGAGCAATTTTATATTTAAAACACATTGAATAAACAATTGAGTCATTTAATGAGCTCAATAAACATTTCAATAGCAACAAACAAGGTTAATACATTGTTTGGTGAGAGACAATGGAGTTACGTGAAAATAATTATAAGTAACAATTGACGATAAATAAAAAAAAATATTCTGGTTCTGAAAAATGAAGTAATAAAATGTGGTTAAAATAGGTTTTGAAAAAATTGTATACAAACCCAGTGTTGGAGTTTCCGCAATGCATACTCTTCTAATTGAGTTGGCAACACTGAAAGAATGTTTAAAATTATAAAATTACGATAAAATTACAACACAGATTAGCAAATGAATCATAAATTTAAACATGTCAAAGCTTTTTATAACAGTAAAATTTCTTTAGTGCAACTATATAAAGTCACAAATATAAACTATAAATATACTACACCCATGTTTGCTCAATGGTGTTCATCAAGTCAAATATTAGATCAATTTACCAAATATTCTAATATATACATATGAACAAAAACGTATGTATTAACAATTAACAATTACAAATTAATTTTAACTACTTTAAATATTTGTGAACAGAGATGCATGTACTATATAATATGGTGTGATAGCTCAATGTTTAAAGGCACCTGGTCTTGCTATTGCGATGACTGGGTTTGAATACAAAGAGATCCCCGCCTATCATATGCAATGTGTATGATGCGTGGTGAACTGTTCACCAACCTTAAATCTGTATTCTCCAATACAAATTTGATATTTTCATCTGTCAACTCAGTAACTGAAACTGTGGGCTGGTTAGCATAAGGCATTTTCGGTGGGCTTGTACACTTTAAAAAATGTAGCCGTTAATAATGAAGAAAATGTTACTTAGTTAATTTGTATAAAATTATAAAAAAAAGTTTTGATTTTATAAACCAAATCATTCCCAAATGTCCAAGGTTCATTGGCACATTTCAACGCTTTTTTAGTTAAAAATTAATAAGATTTTAGTAATTTCTTACAAAATATAATTAATTTCATATATAATTATAACAGAACCATCTTATAAAAAATGTGCGACAATCAAAACACTAACTAAAAAAATAATCATTTATTAATTACATTTTTGCAGTTTCTACAGGTTCATCCGGGTAGCCGACTCCCGGTCAACCCAGCCGTCCATCCTTTCGAGGCTGGTAAATGGGTAGACGACGTAAGTTGTCGCATGTTGGCCGGCGAGGAGGCTCAGTGGTTCAAATGCGCGCTGAGTCAAACATCTCAATGGCTATCATATACTCAGCGTATATGATGCGGTGCTTGCGCGTGCACATAAAATACATGTGTACGTCGTGTGAAAAGAATAAACAGCCTTTGTGGCGAAAGATGGCTGCTTCATATCATTGGTTGAAGATATGAAGAACATAATCTATATATGCAACATTGTAAGTGGTTCTGCGTATGTTAGAGCTGCAATAATAAAGACTAATAAATAAAAAAAAACATTACTTATTACTATAAATGAATAAAAATAATTAATAAATACGCTTATTTAATTAAAACTGCTCACCTCACAACTTCGACGAAGCGAGCCTAAGAATTTCTCTTAAAAATATTTTAAGGCGGAAAAAATGACTCGCCGGCTTCACTTCCTTAGGTGTGTCCGTTGATATATATATAATACAAATGTCCATAGATATATATAATATTTACAGCCTACGTTTACAAAAATATTTACAACCATAGATACATATAATTTTTTTTTATTATTCTTTAAAAATCAGGATCTGACAGACGCAGAAACTGTAACAACATGCAAGGCAGTAGCACAAAATAAAAAAATTAAGTGAGTAAATAAATACAAAAGTGAGGAAGAAAAATGTTAAAACATGAAAAATAAAATATGTTAGAATAAAATAAATAATAATAATAAGAAAAATAAAAGAAAAGTAATTGACAATGAAATATAAAATGAAGTAACGGCAAATTGATAGACTAGATGATGACTTAGTGAGTTAGTGAGGTGATCGATGGATAAAGACTAGACCTGTGAGTGAAAGAGTTTTAATGAGTATTATTAATATTATGTTTGATGACTTATTAATAGACTAGATGATGACATAGTGAGTTAGTGAGGTGATCGATAAATAAAAGCTAGATCTGTGAGTGATAAAGTTTTAATGGGAATTAATATGTTTGATGGTGAGTTAATTGGTGGGTTAGTGAGGTGATAATAATTATATTCATGGGTATGTCTAATGACCACCAACACATTATATTTTTTTTTGCTTATTTTTGATATTAGATACATTTAAGATAAAATAAAGATACATTTAAAATATAATAGAAGACAGCCGTATATATATATATATATATATATATATATATATATATATATTATTACAAGTCAATTTGTGCAGCGCTAATTAAAAAAAAGATCTCAAAAGCGCTCCATAAAATAAATGAACAAACAAAACATTAATCAAACGAAGACAAAGAAATTGTTAATTCTGCAAAAATAAATGAGTCTTCAGCTCCTTTTTAAATAAAAACAATGATAGATCTGATCTTCTTAGAAACGCCGGTAGACTGTTCCAAACCACCGGTCCAGCAACAGCAATATTGCGTGATCCGGTCTGTAAATTCGTTGTCGGCACAACCAGGAGGTTCATGTCATTTGATCTCAACTGCGAACCCAACACATATGTTTTCCTGATGAACATGTCTGCCAAATACTGTGGTGCTAAACCATGTAATGACCGAAACGTTAAGACAGCAGTTTTGAAAATTATTCTTTCTTCAATTTTTAGCCAGTGTAGGTTATTCAAGATTGGAGTCATGTGATCAAACTTCAGATTTTTTGTGGCAAGTTTTGCAGCTCGATTTTGAATAGACTGAAGTACAGCTATTGACTTGTCAGGTATTTTAAAGTGTAAACTGTCACAATAATCTACTCTGGATGTAATAAAAGCATGTACCAATGTTTCCATGGCAGATCTGTTCAAATAGTGTCGAATCTTGTACAATTTTCTGAAATGCATCATACTTGCAACTGATAGGGACTTTATTTGATTTTTCATTGAGAGCCTGCTATCCAACCATACCCTCAAATTCAAAGTTGTAGAAGCAAATGATACTTCAACGTCACCAACTTCAACCGAGTTTATATTAAGTCTTGACAACTGCTACCATGTACCGACAGAAAGCATCTGAGTTTTACCCCGGTTCAACCCCAAGGAATTGCTCAACATCCAGCGTTCAATCTCTATCAAACAACCAACAAGTTTATCAATCACGGGCTGAAATGTCTCTGGATGATCTGTAGCAACTATCTGTATGTCATCTGCATACGCATGACCAACAAATCCATGCGACATTATTATTTTAATTATATCCGATGTAAAGAGTAAAAACAAAACTGGTCCTAGCACTAGTCCCTGAGGAACACCCGCTGTTACCCCTTTGACAGCCGATAAGACTTTTCTAAACAAAACTTGCTGAGTTCTACCCGTTATATACAATTCAAACCAGGCGAGTACCATTTCTGCAACTCCAAAATTATTCTGCAGTTTTACCAGAGGCTAGTTATGACATGTTTTCGACATGTCTTCCGCTTTTGACACAGTCAAAAGCGGAAGACATGTCGAAAAAGGAGAGTAATGATATCTTCCGATCATCCATGCCTGCAAACATGTTTGACAATACATGAAGCAATGCAGTTTCAGTTGAATGGTAGCATTTGTAGGCCGATTGGTTGAGTGGCATTAAATTGATCGTCGTTAGATAATTCAACAAGAAATCAAGAACAACACGCTCCAAAACCTTTGAAACAAAAGAAAGGTTTGATATTGGTCTGTAATTACTCACCTCATTTGCATCTGAGTTAGCTTTTTTTAAAATCGGTTGAATTATCGCGTGCTTACAGTTAGAAGGAAATTTACCAACGCGTAAACAAAGGTTTAGAAAACTCGTCAGAAAAGAGACAAATGAGTCCAAGTATCTTTTCAAGATATGCGTGGGGATTGTGTCCAAACTGCACGTTTTCGTTGGTGATTTAAGTACCGTTTCCCTCAACTGAGTTTCAGTAACCGTACATTTATCCAGCATCGAGACTACTTGAAGCGGAAATTCAGAATGTGCATTTGTTGTTTCCTAGCAATTTTATTTTCAAAAAATTGTAATATCTGATCAGCGTTTAAAGCATTGTCATCATTAAATGAATCGTTTGCCGAAATTTTACCTAACATTTTATTGGCAACATCCCAAAGATTTCTTTTATTTTTGTTACTACTTACGATATTGTTCCAATAATGCGTACGCTTGTCAGAAAAAAGTCTGTTTTTAGCCAACAATGAGAGTGCCCATCTTTTTTTCCGCCCACTTTCCGGACAAATTCTTTCCATCTTCCTACAGAATCGCTTTGCACGTCTACACTCACCATCAAACCAAGGTGCAGCATTTGTCTGCCTACGATAAATCACCCGCATAGGCACTTTGTCAGAAATTTGTTCAATTTCACCACTAAACACAGCAAATTCATAATCCACATCATCAGATTGACTATTGTTTGCCACAGGAAAGTTTGCTAGTGCTTCAACAAAACATTTTTCGTTCAGATCTTTCCATGGTCTGATACATGCTTTCACCAATTTTGGTCGAACTTGATTCAACGCCACTCTCACACCTACGTAACTGTCATCTAAGTATACCGAACATGGGTCAATCTTAGTATCAAGAATTGGAAAATCATGTGAAATAATTACTAGGTCTAACGTACCTCACGACACATGCGTTTGTTGATTAACACGATTGACCAACTGGACCAACTCATGTAGTCGTAGAGTGAAAGGACTATCCCTCTTTTCAGCGTGAATGTTAAAACCACCCATAAGTACGACATGTGCCTCCGACATTGTAATAAACTCTAACATAAAAATCATCTCTTCAAAGAATAATGAAGTCGTCTGTTCCGAGCCAGGTCTGTAGAGAGCAATTAAACAGAACTTATCAATTCCAATCTTCAATCTGATGGCCAGCGCTTCAAACTTGGAAAACAAAGGTAGATTTATTTTTTTATACTTAAAATCACATCAAAAATAAATTACCAAACCCCCGTGACCAGGGTCATGTGGTCTGACAAAATCTACAATGAAAAACCAGGTGGCATAGCTAATATCTAACGGAAATATTACCTTTGATCCCGTGCCATGTTTCACACAGAACTGGTATGTCGAGTCCATCATAAATCATTCCATAGACATCATCAACCTTATTGTTGATCGACCTGACATTCAACAGACAAATCCTAACCGTATTATATATTATATATATATATATTAATATGTTTGATGGTGAGTTAGTTGGTGAGTTAGTGAGGTGATAATATTTATATCCATGGGTATGTCTAATGACCACCAACACATTATATTTTTTATGCTTATTTTTGATATTAGATACACTTAAGATAAAATAAAGATATATTTAAAATATAATAGAAGACAACCCGTATATATATATATATATATATATATATATATATGTTTATATATATATATATATGTATGTATACAGAATACCAGAAAACACATATACAAAAAAATAGT